TAATTTTTATAATTAAAAAATATGTAAACATTCTTTATTTTGAAGTTAGATTTGTAGATGTAGAATTTATAGTATAGTAAAAGTTAATTCAAGATATTATAGGAATTATAATGGAAAAATGATATACATCAGTAAAATAATAGACATATCAAGAAATATAAAGGGATTAAAGTAAATCTATATGAGAATGTAGGAAATTCTATGATGATTAGTATTAGGAGTGGGAAAATATTAAAATTTATAAAAAAAGAGGAATATAGAAGGAAATGTATGAAGCAAAAGATATGAAAGGAAAAAAGTATTCACTTAATATGGTAACGGTGATAATAATTAATGTGATAATTTTATAAGTTATATAACTTTTTAATCAATGGAAATGAATAACTTATAAATTTATGTATTTGTTTCAGCACTTTGACAGAACAAGTTTCAACAGCTTTAGACATCACATGTGTTCTATTTGGTAAAGAAATTTTAAATATTATACCTGGTAGAGTTTCCACGGAGGTAGATGCTAGACTATCTTTCAATAAAGAAGCCAGTATTGAAAAAGCAAAACGATTAATTGCTTTATACGAAGAACTTGGTGTAAATAAAGATCGTGTGTTAATCAAGCTTGCTTCTACTTGGGAAGGTATTCAAGCAGCAAAGTACGTTATATATTTTTATTTTCATTGAAATGATCAACAAAAAGCTTAAATTCGAACTAATGAAAATTATTTGTATAGAGAACTGGAAGAAAAATATGGAATTCATTGTAATTTAACACTTTTATTTTCTTTTGCACAAGCAGTTGCATGTGCAGAAGCAGGTGTAACTCTTATATCACCATTTGTTGGTAGAATTTTAGATTGGTAAGCTAAAAAATATTTGTTATGAGTATTCAAAATGTACAAATTCAAATATTCCTTAGGTATGTGACAAATACAGATAAAAAGTCTTATGAATCAAAAGAAGATCCAGGTGTTTTATCTGTAACTAAAATTTATAATTACTATAAAAAGTTTGGATATAAAACAGTTGTTATGGGTGCTTCATTTAGAAATACTGGTGAATATCTATAAAATTATTTTAAAAGTAATTAAGATCATAAAAAATTGATAATAACAAAAATTATTTTTCATTAAGGTGAAATTACGGAATTGGCCGGCTGTGACTTTTTAACTATAAGTCCCAAATTATTGGAAGAATTGGAAAAGAGTAATGTATCAGTTCGCAAAGTACTTACAGTAGAAACAGCAAAAAAATCTGATCTACAAAAGATTAGTTTGAACGAAGCTGAATTTAGGTGGCTTCTTAATGAAGATCAAATGGCAACAGATAAATTAAGTGAAGGTATTCGCAAATTTGCAGTGGATGTTCGCAAATTGGAAAAGCTACTGCAAGAGAAAATACAATCTTAAATATAAACAAAATACCTTTTTTTGGCATATTTATGTAATGTATGTTCTATTGTAAATAACAGTACTAAAAAATAATAATTATTTCAAGTAATAAGTTTTCAGTATATGATACATTCCACTCTTTGTACTTATACAATGTGTAATCAGTGTACAAATTTATATAACATAACATTTAGAATATTAAATAAAAATGGGATTTTAGGGAAATATATACTTCATAAGTAATTATTTTGTACAAAAGTTATATCACAAAACATAAAATAGATTTTAATACATTATAAGATAATAATATATAATGAATATTTAATATATCTTTATGCCAAGTGTTTAAGGACTAAGGAATTTATCTTTCAATGTTATCAGTACAGCATAAAAGTTTCTACAGATAAATTTTTTAATGCTAAAGCACAGCACAACAAAATAAAGACGCTATATTTGTTAAACATATTAAAAATTTTTTCATTTACTATAATAACTTTACTATTTTTAAATAATGTATAACAAATTAGTAAATGTACAAAACGTGTATTTTTAAAGCTTTGATAAAAGAAATTAAATTAAGATTTAACACACATTTAATAGATAACAAATATTTCTTTTATCATCTCCTATTTCATTGTAGAAGGTGACTTGTCTTATGAACAAAGTATTTCATAATTTAACTGTTTTATAAAATTACGTAAATAATTTGGTTACATAAGGTTATATTCGAGCATATTAATAAATAAGTTTATAGATGGAAATTATTTTTTTGATTAAAATATTTTAGTCATTGATGTTATACTCATGCTAATCATTAATAAATATTTCAATTTATACACGTAATTTATCGCTATTCGTAGTTAGTACTGAATTACCAGTCGCATAGATATATTCTTTTTATGGATATACTTATAAGGAGAGTGCAAGTCCTTCGAGTCACCGATTTAGTTTAAACTTTACAGGTTTATACATTTCGTCATGCAGTTTAAGAAAATATATTACTATAGCTGCAACTATTCAATAGTTTTTGAAACATTTACGATTAAAGTTTGATTGCCTTTATAATTATAGATTTATTGCCAACATTTTTCAAGTAGAATCGTGGCCTAACGGCGACATGCGAGAACTGTTATGCTTTGAGAATCAGGGTTCGATTCCCATCTATAGTGGGTACTTTTTTCAATATATTTTTTTATTTTGTATTCATTTCTCGTCTATGCAAACATTGTAAATAAACAATTGTAAATAAAATTTCTTAAAAAAATTTATTTTTTATGCTTTCTTATGCTAGTATATATTTATTACAAAATAATAAAAATATTATGCAAGGAAAACACTTTTCTACAACAATCATATTAACTACAGAAAGAAAACGAAAATATCAATAACCTTTAGATATAAGAAATACAAAACCTATCGCTTATGTAAGTATTAATTAGTAAATTAAACATCCTATAAGAATGTTGCCTATAATTCCAACTTTGCTGTGCAGCTATAACTTTTCATGAATTAATTACAAAAACTTAGCAATTTATTAATTTTCTACTGTCGAATTGATTTCTAGTATCCAGTTTGAATACAAATTTTACCGCCTGCGATCAACGCCACCTATGATATTGGAATAGTTTCTCAAATAGTTTACTAACTCTGATTACGTGCACCTAATATATTTTAATTTATTTTAATAAATAAAATCATAAAGTTTTCTACATTCTTTAATAAATTCAGCCGAAACAGCGGTTTTAATTAGACAAACAGCATTCATTTCTTTACCTGGCAGACGTCAAATATGCAAAGGTACGCCTTTACAAGGCAATTATAAAATTTCATAAATTAAACACAGAAATTGAGCGATTTGTTAATTTTTCTCCAAGTGAACAGGAAAGTGCATGGGAAATGAGAAAAAATTAGAAACAAACGCCGGAAGCATTGTTGTGTCCATGCAGGTGTGCCTGCATCATAAAAAGAATGTAAGTATTTGTATTAACATAACCTTTAGTTATAATTGAATAGTGTAAGTTAGAAAAGATAATATTTTGTTGAAATAAACAGGCACGTGCAACAATAGAAAAATATTGGACTCATGGAATATCATCAGTGTAGATGCCAAGAATTATATCTTATAGCGAGAGAAAATTGAAGCAGCAATATAAATATGTAAAGTATGATATGTCTATTGCATTCTAGGTCGGTTAACCATATGACATACAAGATAGAAATCTTTGATGGTCAAATAAAAATTCAGAAAATGGAGATGGTTTAGGCAGACAAAAAGGAATACAATTAATTTAGGTGATGGCCTCTTATAACAACAAGATATGGAGAATGCGGTGAGATTGAAAGGTATGTTGTGTTCCTGATGTAAATTAATATTAATATCAGTGGTCAAAGTCAATGATCATCGCTAATGTGTTATGTTTGAATAAAAGGAATGAGAAGAGGAAACATATATTATGTCAAATCAAGAAACAGAAAAGAGGCAGCATATGTATCAAGAGAGAAACATGTGAGTCATTGACTTGCAAATATGAGGATCGTTGTGATTTCATAATAGTTATGAAAGGTAAAGTTAAATTGAACATAGAGTGAAAATGTTGCATTACGGCATAAATGTCTAGTAATATATATAGGGATTGAAAACTATAAAAAAAGCAATTATAATGGTGCTGTGGCACATCATGTACTTCATTGGGCCAATAAAACCAATGTCAAAAGGAGGTAAAAGCTATGATTATTCGAGAGAAGAACCATTTGGTTGACTGATTTATAAATGACTAAAGATTTAATATGAAATGTTATTCATGAAAGATTTTTTCTATTATAGGAGACTTACAAACATGAGTAATATTCATATGCAAGAGCCAGCCACTAAGGGTAAAGTGATAACTATCATTTCAATGGATTGTATATCTGTTTTTAAAAATTTAACCGATATTCAATATTTACTTTCCAAATTTCTATATTAATATATTAAATAATTTCTAATTTGAATTACAATAATAAATAATAAATTTTAATAAATTTGATTTTAAAAGTATTTTACATTAATCAAACTAATATATTTGTTATAACTAGGTTGTAATGAAAACAACTGTTGGTGATGTTGAGTTAGAATTATGGGCAAAAGAAACTCCAAAAGCATGTAGACATTTCATACAATTATGCATGGAAGATTATTAGGGTGACTCTATCTTTCATAGAATTATCAAAGGATTCATAACACAAGGTGGTGATTCCACAGGTACAGGAGAAGGTGGTAAAATATATGGAGAACCATTTGAAGTGAGACTATATTTAAAAATAAAATGAATTCCTCTTTTATTCAAAAATAATTATAATCTATATGTGTTTTAGGACGAATTTTATACAAGATTACGTTTTTGTCGACGAGATTTAATTGTTATGGCTAATGCTGGAAAAAATGACAATGGTTCCCAATTCCTCTTTACTCTTAGTTTTACACCAGATTTGCAGAATAAATATACAATCTTTGGTAAAGTTACAGAATATACCATATATAACATGCTTAAACTTGAAGAAGTACTTGTAAATGGGGTAAATTTAATGTTTACAAGAAAATATATCAAGAATTGATATAAATATGATATTTCCTATCTTTTCTAGAATGATCTACCGCTTTGACCTCCAAGATTGATGAAAACTATACTATTGAACAATCCATTGTCTGATATTATACCAAGAATAATAGTACAGGAAAGTGAAGAAGTAAAGGACAGTTCAAAAGCTAAAACAGCAACTGAAACAACAGCAGTAAAGTAAAAGTCATATATGTTTGTAGGATTTAGTCCTGATAATATTATTTGCAATGAAAAATTTTGTTGCAGAGATTTCAATCTTTTATCATTTATTGAAAAAGCAACGGAAGATGAAGAAGAATCTGTGAAGAAGAATCAAATGAAAAGTATAGTGGTAAGGGCAAATCAGCTCATAATCATTTAACGGATCCAAAATTAAGTTCACAACCAGCTGTTGAACCGTCTGGACTTCCAAATAAAAAAAGGAAAGAAGACCGTAGTAGTGACTGGGAAATTGACGTCGAAGTAAAAAATCAAGAAGAATTAGAAATTTTGAAGAAAGAGAAAGAGTTAGTTTATTGCTTACATTATAACTGTGTTATGGAAAGTAGGAATCTTTATTGACTGTCTTATATTTATATTTTCATTGCGATGAAGGAAAGGATAAAAAATAAATTGATAGATGCAAAGAAGAAACCGAAGATGGTAGAAAATTATAAAATAGATGATGTTGAAGATGATAAGGATATAAAGAAAAATGGGTAGGGAATGAATAACTTCTTATAAGGTTTAGTACGAGAGAAAACCGAGGAGATGCACGATAAGGGAGATAGATGCAAGATAAACCAATATCTAGAATTATCAGGATAACTCATGTATCTGAATAGAATCATTTGCAGTAGTGTGTATATATCTATTAATATTGTTATATATATGGTCATTATAATGATAATTATTACGTGTTATGTATTACCAAGCATCTTTTTCTCGCAACGGTCCGTAATACGGACATCTACTCAGATTCTAATGTCTGTACCTCATTGTTTATTATGTCGTTAACAATTAACGTTTATATGTGAAACTTTCAAGGTGAATAAAAATTACCTAAGCATATTACCATCGTAGTGTCATTTTCTTTTTACCAAGAACAAAATCACTCCCCTTTATCTGTAACTTCATGTTCGTCTGGATGTTCAGAGAATAAAGAGAAGGGATAAAAATCTGTTATACGGATTTATGTCGTTTTATTGTTTTGTATCTCCCGCTCAAAGCGTCACGTGGTTTTAGATTGCTCGATTGCGATCAGCGCCATCTATGATTTGGGCTCAAAAAGCAGGAAAGTGATAGGAATATAGAATAGGCGAGGAGGTCGACGTAGAGCTGGTCACGTGACTGACAATGACAGAGAGGGGATAGAAAAGGATAGAATGGCTCCGGCAGTGAAAAATTATTAATTACTCAATTTCTGTAAACAATTTGTGAACTTTTATAATTTCTGCGCAAAGCTGGAACTTCAGGCTACATTCTTATATAATCTTCGTAAAGAATTTAACCCTAAATTGTTAGTTATTAATTTTTGTTTTGTGGCGTCTATGATTTCGTAACGACGACC